ATAGAAGACACACACAAATCCACACAGATAACAGTTATTTGATCCTTGACAAAGGTGACAAAAATATTCGTTGGAGAGAAAGGACAGCATTTTTAACAAATGATGTTGGGAAAACTGATTATCCACATGTAGAAGAATGAGATTAGATCCCTATCTTTCTCCTTGCACAAGTCAAATCAAAATAGATCAAAACCCTAATAATTATATCAGGACTAATTATGCAACTTCTAGAAGAAAACATTGGGTCAACACTCCAGATTTTAGGCCCAAACAAGGGCTTCCTCAGTAGGAATCATACAGCTCAGGAAATAATGCTAACAATTAAATTATGGGATGGCATCCAGTTAAAAAGCTTCAGCACAGCAAAGGAAATAATTAAAAATGTTAAGAGAGAACTAACAGAATGGGAGAGAATCTTTTCTAGCTACTTTCCTGACCAAGGATTAATATCTAAAATTTATAAAGAGCTCAAAAAACTTAATACCAAAACAAATAAATAATCCAATCAATAAATCAGCAAATGAAATAGATATTTCCCAAAAGAAGAAATACAGATGGCTAACAAAGATGAAAAAAAATGTTCAACATCTTCAGCAATTGGGAAATGCAAATCAAAACTACACTCCAATTACAGTGGCCGCCATCAAGAATACAAACAATAATAAATGCTGGAGAGGATGTGGAAAAATGGAACACTGTACATTGTTGGTAGGATTGTAAATTAGTACAACCACTATGTTAATCAATATGATGGTTCCTCAAAAGGCTAGGAATGGAACCACCCTATGACCTAGTCCTTGGTATTTATTCTAAAGAATTAAAAAGTCACCATACTGCAGTGATTCATGCATACTCATGTGCATAGCAACACCATTTACAATAGCCAAATAATGCAATCAGCCTAGGTGTCCATCAGGGAATGAATAGTAAAAGAAAATGTGGTATATGTATACACACACACACACACACACACACACACACACAAGTGGAATTCAATTCAGCCATAAGGAATAACAAAATTCTGTCATTTGCAGAAAAATGGATGGAACTAGAAGACATAATATGAAATAAACCAAACTCAGAAAATCAAGGCTTGTATGTTTTCTCTCATATGGAGGCAGAGAGGGTAAAAGGAAAAGAAACAAGGTGATGGGGAGTCTTATGAAAATTAAAGGGAGACCAGTAGAGTAGAGGAAAAGGACCAGGGCAAGGATGAGAGGAGAGAAAAGGAAAATATTATATTGTTATATCAGTGATGAATGAATACGTGACAATGAATCCCACTATTGTGCACCAATAAAATTATGGGATAAAAACAGAATAAATAATTTTAGCACATATTTCATTTCAGCCTTTGGAATTTTGTGTCTTCTTGTACATGTTTTAAAATAATGAGTATTCTGTAGTTTGATACTAAAGTCTGTATATATCTTTTAGATCCCTTATATTAAGTTGTTCAGTTCTGGATCCTGATTGGGTGCACACACTTGTTCTATCAGTGCTGATTATAGTATTTCTGTCAGTATTTTATAGGATTTTAGTACTTATGTCAATATTTTACTTTAAATATTTTGAAGCCATTTCTCAGATACATACAGTTTTTGAAAATTTCTTAGTATCTTGAACTTTTGTCACTGTGAAATATCTATCACAGGTAACACTGCTTACCTTCAACTTCACATCTATGATTAATTTAACTATCAGCCTTTTTATTAATAGTTTTTAATATGCTGAGGATTAAACCCAGAGCCTCAAACATGCTAGGCAAGTACTCTACCATTAAGCCACACCTTTCTGAATATTTTTTTATATTTATTTTTTAGTTGTAGTTGGACAAAATACCTTTATTTCACTTATTTATTTTTATGTGGTGCTGAGGTTCGAACCCAGGGTCTCATAGATGGGAGGTGAGTGCTCTACCACGAGCCACAATCCCAGCCCCCCTTTCTGAATTCTTATGGTTTCTATGTATTCCTTAAATGTCTCCTTCCTTCCTTCCTTCCTTCCTTCCTTCCTTCCTTCCTTCCTTCCTTCCCTTCTTCCTTCCTTCCTTCCTTCCCTCCCTCCCTCCCTCCCTCCCTAGGATTGAACCCAGAGGCACTCTACCAATGAACTACATCACCTGCCCCTTTTTAGTTTGTGCTTTGAGACAGTGTCACTAAGTTGCTGAGGTTGGTCTTGAACTTGTGATCCTCCTGTCTCACCTTCCCACGTTGCTGAGATAACTGGAGTATACAACATGACTTGTTTGTTTTCTTAATACAGGCCGACCGCATTCCAATTTTAACAGAAGCATTTAATCTGTTTACATTTAATATAATCACTCACACACACACACACACACACACACATTTGGGTTTAAATTGTATTGTTATGTGCTTTTTATTTGTCCTATCTCATATATTTTCTTTTATTTCTGGCCTATTTTGTTCTTTTTCTTTTGATCACTTACATTTTTCCTTCTGTTAGTTCAGAAGTTTCACATATCTTTAAAGCTATTCTTTTTGTACTTAAAGATCACATTATAAATCTGTAACCTATCAATATCTATTCATTCATACCTGTATTTTTTCCCCAGATAATGCACAAGGATTTTGACACTTTAGCTAGTATGTGACTTGTTTATCATTACTGTATATTAACTATCTGTTTATTTTAAATCCAAAATATACCATTATATTTTATGTAGTCAGTATTCATTTAGACTCACATATTTACTATTGCCTTTTATTTATTCTTGCATCTCTTTTCTTAAAGACAGGTCATTTTCTGTCTGCCTTTTAGGATTTCCCTTAGCATGGGTCTGCCAGTGTCAGGTTCTCTTTGTTTTTTTCTTTTTAATATTTATTTTTTTAGTTATAGTTGGACACAATACCTTTATTTTATTTATTTATTTTTATGTGGTGCTGAGGATTGAACCCAGGGTCTCGCATATGCTAGGGAAGCTTTCTACCACTGAGCTATAACCCAGTCCTTAGGTTCTCTTCCTTAAGATAGTTTTATCTCACCTTCATTCCTAAAAGTTGTTTTTGCAATGTATAGAATTCTAGGTTGAGAGTTAATTTTTCCTTTCATCGCTTTGAAAATATTCCATTGTTTTCTACCTTCCATTATATCTGTTGAGCTTTGAATCTAATAGTTGTTCCTTATTTGCAGGTAATTGATTTTTTCCCTCTCTATTTTTAAGGTTTTCTCTTGCCTTGGATTTTTATCAGTTTTATGTGCCTAGATATATACATCTATTTAGTCCTATAGGCGTTCTTAAATCTTAATGTCTGTTTTTTAAATGCTGTGCGATTATCTTGTCAGTATTTCTTCTACAGGATCTATGTTGTCTCTCCTAGTATATCATTTAAACATGTTATATCTTTTTATTGTGTCTTCTGAATTTTATCTTCTTTAATCAATTTTCTGTTCTTTTGTTTTTCCCTGCTTTATTCTAGGTTTTTCTTCTGACTTAATTTTCAGACTGCTAATTCAACTATACCTTTCTATCTCCTTCAGTATGATTATTTTAAGTTGTCTTATAGTCACAATATCTGGAGTTTTTGAGGACTTTCTTTTGGTTTTACTAGTTTTCATTTATATTATCTTGTCTTCTTTTATACTTGGTTATTTTTACTTGAAAAATTACTTGTAAAACTTTTGAGGGCCAAGATGATGTTACTTTTCTGATCCATTACTGAGAGTCCTCCAATGTGTATCTTCATTTTTTTTCTGCCAAAATTTAAGGCACTGACAATCAGGAATCACTTTAATCCAATTTTAGGAATTATAGTTTTCTGGACCATTCCGATGACTTAAAGCCAGGCTATAGTGTCTTCAAGGACTGTTAAAACTTCAGTTTACCCTTTTGTTTAGAATATAAATCTTGGGAATCCCAATGTTAGGCATCATATTACCAGGCAGCAATTTTAATTTTAATTTTTTAATCTTGGGGTTGACAAAGTTTTTTGTTTTAAAGACTAGAAAATACATATTTTAGGCTTTGTGGACCATACAGTCTCAGGTACTGTTCTACAAAACAGTCATAGACAGTGAGTGAATTCCAGTAATGTATTCCAGTAATGTTTTATTTATAAAAATGGGCACAAGGCTAGATTTGGCTCATGGGTCAAAGTTTGCCAACCCCAGCTATAGTCTGTCAAAAGCTCTGCTTGAACCCTCTGCCACCTCTTCTGAAATTCAGATTAATTCTAAATACTGAGCTAGCCTCTCCTTGTTCTACCCTCTTAGCTCTCTAGTATTTTCAAACATATGTTTATGTTGAGTTTTATATTTGGCCTAGTTGTTSTTAGCAGAAGATTTAATCTGAAAAACCTAGTGTGCTATATCAGAAGCTAACATCACATGTGAGGTAACCAGTTTTTAAAAAAATAAGGAGATCTCTCCCCTCCCTATAACAAGAATGGAAATTTATGAAAAAATGTATCTCACTAGTGTTCTGTAATATATAAAATTTTTTAACAAAACCAAGTTTCAAGATGTTTCAATAGTCTTTCTAAAAAGATTGTACATTCCAATGTTACAGAGAACTGTTTTTTATCAAAACTTTGTTTAATGATGGAAATGGTCTGTATCTGCACTTTTCCGTCTGATAACCACCTGTGGCCTATTGAGCACTTGAAATGTGGTTGGTGTGCCTGCAAAACTAAATCTTTAATTTTAACTGGCCTAAAGTTAAATAACTACCTCTGTCTGTTTACTTTGGAATAGATGCAGCTTAGATTAAAATATATATATATATATATATCTCAGAACACAATGGGTTCTTATACTCCCACCCACTGATGTGTCTATTTTCCAGTGCTCTTACAAGAACGCTTTTAACTTGAATGTGTTGTGTATATGATGTCTCACTAAATATCCTAGGTCCCACAGAATGTTTCCATTTATATCTACCATTCATGTGGTGTGATGGAAGTATACTCGTTACCCCAATTAAACAACATAAAATTGATGTAGTCAATTTATTTTCTAATATGAATTTTTCTCTGCAGGGAAAGGGGCGTGTTCATCGAGGAAACTATCCAAGTCCATCCTCTCCAGTTACAGTTCGGTTGCCTTCTGTGTCTGATGTCCCAGAAGAGACCTCGGCTATCGAGGCAGCCACAGAGACTGACATCACAGAACAGCAGCAAGCGGCTATGCAGCAGGAGGAGAGAGTATTAACTGAACAGATTGAGAACCTACAGAAAGAGAAGTGAGTACCCAGGAGGAAGGAGAGAGACCAGTTACTGTCTTTTTCATTCCTTCTGTTCTTCCTTTATCTTTCCTTATTTAATATATCTTACATGTCAAGCACATTTCAGGTGATACAGGAAATGTGAAGATGACAAAGGCATTTATACTCGGGTAATATACTCGGGTAATATACTCGGGTAATGTATGAAAGTTTTTATCTAAGGAAAGGAATTTCCATGAGCTAGAAGACTTAATGCTGCTGTAGTGATGATTCTGAACAGGCTAACTATGAGAAGTTTATACTATCCACAGAGTAATTTAGTCTTAGTTAAGATTCATCTGGTATAAGTTAGGAGAGCCAAGATGAGGTACAAGTGTCCCGACATGTTAGGGGACAAAAGGAAGAATAAGAATCCTGATGTTAAAGCAAAGTCCCTTTGAAGAATGAGCATTACAATTTTCTGAAAGAAAGTTCCACTTGGCTACGGATCCAGGAACTGAATGGTCAGGATAAGGGCTGGGGATGTTGCTCAGCGGTAGCGTGCTCACCTGGCATGCGTGCGGCCCGGGTTCGATCCTCAGCACCACATACAAAGATGTTGTGTCGGCCGATAACTAAAAAATAAATATTAAAGAAATTCTCTCTCTCTCTCTCTCTCTCTCTTTCTCTCTCCCTCTCCCTCCCTCCCTCTCTCTTTAAAAAAAAAAAAAAAGAAATGGTCAGGATAAGGCAGCACTCTTAGTAGGTGCCTGGGATACTGTGTGAAGAAACTGGTTGCAGTTTAAGAGAGAGACCAATTAGAAGTTCTGTTATCTCTGTCATCACTGGGGCAGGGGTGGGATGACACTACCTCTTAGGGATATGAATATCCCATAGTTCTCCCTGAGTGTACTATGCACTGATTCTGGTTGACTTGATGAGTTTTTATTAAAGAATCCTAAAATTATCTTTCTTCTTGAGTTCCTGGAAACTGCATCTTAACTTTCAGAACTTGATTCACAAGGGGAAGAGAGTATTCACTGAACAAATTGATAACCTACAGAAAGAAAAGTGAGTGGCCAGGAGAATGGAGAGAGACCAGGAATAAGAGACTATCAAAGTAGGTTTTGTCAGTCAGGATTGATAAGACCATAAGGTCAAGGTAATATATACTGCCCGGGCTCACAATTTGGTAGAAGAGTAATCTGAAAGAGGACCTATGTCACCTTTGGTGAGGTTGGAATTAGAGGTATCAAGGATAAATAGTAATTTGCTAAATGGGGAAAGTCTTTGCTGAAAAAGGAAGAAGTTTGAGCAGTCTCAGAGAGGTGAATGCACATGGTAATTGTAATCACTATAGTAAATTACTGGTGAGAATGTCCTTGAAAAGATTGTGTATCTCAAGCTAGGTAGACTTCAAGGGAAGCTGAGAGAGGGGTCTAACAGGGAGACTTGATTACTTGATTTAAAAGGAAGTAAAAATTGGAAGGATAAAGAAGCAGTAGATAGAGAAGGGAGTACTGGATTCAGAGTTGGTATATTTCCAGGTAATGATTAATTGCAGGATCTACCCATTAGAGAAAGTTATGTATATAAAGCAGAGAAAAAGAAGGTATAGACATAAAGGAACTTTGTATTAGGGCTTTGAAGTAAGTTTTTACAAAGATATTAATTGAAATAGATTGAGATAGTATCAGGAAATATTGAGAAACACTAGGAGCCAAATACCAAATCCCTGGGGGAATAAGGTGTGTGACTGAGGTAGATGGGTGCTGTGATGAAGAAGAATAGAGCATACTATGACTAAGAGATGACACAAAACTTGAATGGCTGGAAAACATCAGTGTTTTACTTTATCAAGAGGCCTCTCTGTGACCAAGGTAGAGAATAAAGTCTGTATCCAGTTAGGAAAATTAATGGAAAACAGTTAAGGAACTGGTAGGAATTTAGAGATTACCTATTTAATCTCTTTGTTTCCTGGATAAGGAAGCTGAGGTTCAGAGAGGAAAGAGTTTAGAACCCTCATCTGCTAATTGTTTGTCCAGAGTTTGTTTTTACCAAAAGCCTACCCTTAACCCTGTCATTGGTCCTAGGTTTGTTGTTTGTTGTTGCCTTGTCCTTTAATTTAAGAGTAGGTCCTCATCACTACCCCAGACAGGGATAAGAAGAAGAGCTCTTTGCTATTTGGATTCTTAACTTTCATGAAAGGTCTTTCTTTCTATTATTGTTCTTCCAGTTCCTATCAAATGCTAATGGATTTATTTGTTGTATCTTATAGGGAGGAACTAACATTTGAGATGCTTGTACTGGAACCCCGTGCCTCTGATGATGAAACCCTTGAGTCTGAAGCCTCCATTGGGACTGCTGATAGCTCTGAAAATTTGAATATTGAGTCAGAAGGTACCACCTCTGGAAGATCAGGTAAATTAACATGTTAAACTGAAGACTTTAGATTTCTTTTATAAAGTAAGAATAGAATTCTCAAGCTAGACAAATTCCTTTATTGGTGCACTGACCTTACCTGAAAAGGTGACAAGTCCTAAGAAAGCATTTTTCTCTATACAGCCTCCACGTAAATTGTTCATCAGACCACCCCTTCAATGTAGTGTACTTTTTTTGTTAATATTTTTTCCTGTATTTACCATGGAGAAAAGCCAGTAATCATATGTTGTTTTACTATCCCATGCCCCTTTTCTAAGAGTGGGAGGCAAGAATTTTTTCCCCTATAGTAAGATGGATCCATATACCAAAGGAGGCATTTATCTGGGTAGTGTGTCTCAGGGAGGCAGAAATTACTATATATACATCTAGACATGTGAGTTTTGTTGTTGTTGTTTTTTAGTTGTAGATGGACACAAATTATTTATTTTTATGTGGTGCTGAGGATCGAACCCAGTGCCTCACACATGCAAGGCAAGTGCTCTACCACTAAGCTAAAGCCCCAGCCCTCCAGATAGTTTTTTAAATGATATTTTTTAGATCGCTACTGATGGCAGAGTTGAACATAAGGACTTCCTTGGGGCTGTTTCTGAAATGATGTATATATAAATGGATGGAGAGCTCTTTTTGAGTTATGAATGTGCACTGAGTAAATCATCCTGGACCCTACAAATTTTAGCTATATGTGAACAGTGAACAGTTTCATATGTGAACAGTGATACCTACTCAGTGCATCACAATTTTCTTTAGAGGGAACTGTCATTTACAACTTTGGTCTCTCTTTGTATTAGAGAGAAGCTTAGCCCTTAGCTCTCTAAAAGCACCTGGAAAGTCTGAACCTTCAAGCAAATTGAGAAAGCAGCTAAAAAAGCAGCAAGACTCTTTGGATTCAGTGGACTCCTCCATCTCTTCATATCTATCTAACACTGCATTGTCTCACGGCACCAGAAAACGATTTCAAATTTATTCTAAATCTCCATTCTACCGAGCTGCCTCAGCTGGTGAGGCCCTGGGACTAGAAGGACCTTTGGGCCAGACCAGACCCCTAGAAGAGAGGCCTCAGTTCATCAGCAGAGGAACCTTTAATCCTGAAAAGGGCAAACAAAAACTAAAGAATGTGAAAAACTCACCTCAGAAAACCAAAGAGACCCCAGAGGGGACAGTCATGTCTGGCCGCAGGAAACCTGTAGACTCAGACTGCAGCTCCACCCAACAGCTAGCACTCTTTGGAAATAATGAGTTTATGGTATGAACTAGCAGATGTGTATCCTTTGTGGCTAGAAAGGTAAACACATCTCATCTTGGGGCCTCTTGTCTCAGCATATGGCTAAGACTTTCTATGCTGAATTCCTGGGCCTCCTACAGAAGTGGAAAGGCCTCTTTGAAGTCTGCTGGGGATGGTGCCAGCTGTGCCTTGGCTGCTGTATTTAAGTCGATTTCACTAAACAAAGCCACCTTGGGCTTGGGGATTTTTGTCAGCTATATGTGCCTCTTCCCACCCTCTTTCCCTTCTCAGAGAGAGAAGTTGGACTGGGGGAGGTGGGGGTGTTGTAGACCTAAGGGACCATCTGATTTCTGAAATTTGAAGAAAACATATAAGCTTTCTTAACTATGAAAGCAAAAACCTTTGGGTTTATTTTAGGATAGTTTGGAGCTAAAGTAGAGTATGATTTTTTTTTTCCAAGGAATTTATAAATGAAAAGCCTAAGCCCTCTATTTTAAAATTTTAACTTGTGATATTTTGGGAAAAGTAAAAAAGCTATTGTTTCCATTAAGCCATCAGAACCTGTCTCAGATATCTGGTTATACAATGAGATGAGAATACATGCTTTGTTTTTTGATGATATTTAATGTCAAAATAACCAATGCTGTTTTAACTGCTGGTTAGTTTCTGCCAAATATATTGCATGGACTGAAGTTTCAGTAGCCATACTATTCTCATATTCACTGATCTTAAGGTCAAATTCCTCTAATTTTTGTTTAAATGCCCCAGAGACAATGATCCCTAAACATTTCTTCCTAATCCATCCAGGTTTTTCTCTTTGTATAGATTAAATTGTGAAGACCACATATGAGCCTATTGTCTGCTGTGGATTCCCACCACAAACTCAGACAAATAATGTGACCATCTAATCACGTCTCTCAAAATATTCACACAAAACATTGCATGATAAGTGTTAGAGAAAGCTGCCAAAATATAAAAAATTTTAATGTCATCCATCTAATTTTCATCTTTTTCTCCTCAGACGATCAGTATTAAATAGATGGACTACTTGAAGCTATTTTTGTTTATATAATGGTTTCTGAAGTTTACTGTAAATATACATGTACATTATGCATATTTCTTTTTAAACTTGTGCTTCCCTTCTTCCCATGGAATTTCTTCCCATAGATTAGGGGCCATTAGATAGGGGCTGACTGCCACTCATTCCTGGGTTGAGGGAAAGTAAGACCCATCTTTTTCATTACTGGTGGTCTCCATACACTTAAGTTATCGTATACTAGTTGAAGCATCTTAGCATTAGAAATTTGGTTTTGCTATTTATAATGTATAAAAAATGAAACATGATAGCCTTTCTTGAGATAAGTATGTGAAAATGTTTATTTTTAAAGTTACTAAATGCATCTTGTCTCACTACCACATGCACTGTTCTGAAAAAGAGCCTTTACCACGTGTAACCAGAATTTTGGTTATTCTTCCTTTTCATACTTCTTTGCTTTGAAGTTTTGTTAAGGCAGAGTCTCTCCTGTTACACAACACTGAACCTCATGCAACTGCCTCAGTGGKCATTGGCCAGCCTCGCAGGTCAACTTAGAGCACTATTCTGCGTGGCAGCTAAAGGTAGCAGGAGTCTTCCCTCTCCCTGATTTGAGTTCAGAATTGATCCGGGAAAGGAAGCTTTTAAAATCTCCATAATAATGATGTTTAATCAGTGAATGTTGGGTTTTATATCCCACAAACATCTGCCACCTTGTTCATGTTGTTCTGATGAGTAATGAATGTTAAGCTTTTGAAAGTATGAAGTTCAGAGATGCTCCTAAAGCACCTCAGCATGACTGTGTCCAGCTAGGATGCTGCTTCCTGGGCCCTATGCCCAGCTGCACAGTCTGTGTTTCAGTATTCTTGTGAGAGTAGTTTGCTGCTGGGCATTAACTGTTACTTTCCAGAATGTTGGTTAAATACCATGTTTAAAAAAAAAATTACCCTTGTGAATTATTTTCTTTGTCCAAGAAAAATGGCCTGGGGAACAGATCTTGGCACATGTTCTCCCATCTAAATCTTTGTAGGGCTTTTTTTTTTTTGGTCAATTTTTGGCAGTTGAAAAAAAAAAACTACTTATATAGGTCACTTTATAGGAACTAGTTGGTGGATGTTAAGAGACTTTATAATTTTTCTCAGGGACTTAAGACCTGAATTTGGACAAAATTAAATAAAAGATATTTGTTTTTTCAGTTGCTAGATTGTGAATTTCTAGTCATTTAACAAGCTGCCAGAATGGGGGGTGGGGGGGTGGAGATGGAGAGATCCATGCAATTTTAAGAATGTCTAAGCAAGTGTGGGCTCCCTCTTTGAGGGAAAGAGAGCTATTGTTCTCAGAATAACAGGCATTGTTGGCCTGATAAAGAGATGAAGCCATAACTCAGTCAGATCCAAGTCAGAACCAAATGCTGTGTCTACTTCCATTTGTTCTTAAATGGTCCTCTGCATTGTTATGTCACCACAAAGTGATGTTGCATTACAATCATTCATGATTAGGATATTTAAACTTAATATATGTCAGATTTATGATTTCCTATTGCTTCTCCTTTGCTTCTTTTCTTTGATCTCAGTTGCCCTAAAGAAAATCGCCACATGGCAGTAGTGGGGCAGCACCACATTTGGAGCCCATACTAGTCACATTATACATTTCCAACCCCAAACAAAATCTGTTTTTTCTGGGCTGGGGTTGTAGCTCAGCGGTAGAGCGCTTGCCCAGCATGTGCAGGGCACTGGGTTCGATCCTCAGCACCATATAAAAATAAATAAATAAAGGCATTGTGTCCAACTACACCTAAAAATATAAAAAAATTTTAAAAATCTGTTTTTTCTATTCTTCCCACTAAAGCTAATGTATCCCCGTAATTGCACATGTATGATGGAAAATGTAACAGAAGCAGAGAAGTATAATTTCATTCTAGATCATAGATTGAAGTGCATTAACAGCAAAAGCAGGATTCTGGAAGTGATATACTTAGTTTGCAAAGTACTTTGTACTTCCTGCCATTTAATTATTTAACCACACTTGGCTTCTTAAAACACAAATGGATATATAACTCTCTACTATGAGACTTGAAGAGACAGAAGGACCTTAGATTGGGGGATATTTCCATGCTTTTGGAAACTATCAGAAGGCTAGTGAAGACTTCTGTTTGTGTTGCATCACAGTAGGGTTGTTTTCAGGGTCAAAGATGGTTCACAGAAGGGTGCTGTAAAGTTAGGGTCTAACAAGGTTTTGCAGTCCCCCCAGTGCCTGTGGGCCATGTGTTTTTAATTGTAACTAATGAATGTGTACCTATCACAAGCACTTTGCTGAACTAGAGAGAAGGGAGTTTAAGATGCATTCAAAACAAGGTTTCAATTGTAAAAAGAAACAATCCAGATGGCTTTCTCATCTGCCTCTTTCTAGGATTTTTGTTTCCTTGGTGGGGAGCTAGACTTGAGGCTTGCATCATTCTGTATTGGAAAACATGTTATGCTCACCTGTCCTTTTGTGATCACTTCTCAGCCCCATCCCCAACACCATGCTGGCCTTGGTGGTAGAATTCCTTGCTGTATGTGGGAGTTCTTTTTTCTATGACCCTCTAATACTTGTAACCACTTTTCTTTGGAACCACTCCCACATTTGATTTGGTGTTAAAAGGATAACAGCAAAGTGATGATTAGAGAGATGGATCTATTAGGTCTTATTGATCTCTTGTTTTCAAAAATGTTCCACCAATGAGCCTATCATCTTCTACCCATTCATTCTTTTTTTTTAATTGGTTTTATTTTTTAACCCATCCATTCTTAATGCCTATTTATCATCCCTCTGAGGTCATATAAAAGTTGCACCTCTTGAACCAAGTGTTTGTATTTACTATGGGAAAGGTGTGGACTACAGATTAGTATTATATTATTTTAATGAATTTAAAGTAATTTATAAGTATGCCGAGTGTAAATTTTTAAAAGACTATGTATTATGAAAGGACATATCCTGTGAAATATATATCATTTTACTGTTTAATAGAATAATTCTATAAGAAGAATGATTTATTTCACCCACAGAACTGATTACATTCCTGATGCAACCAACTGGCACTTTGTAATTTCTGTTTTTGGTGGGGGGCAAGGCATCATCTGTATAAAGTGCAGTTGTGTCACTCAAAGTATGCACTGTATGGCTACACAAAAGCAGCTTGATGAACAAATCACCCCATGGCTCATTAAAGAACAAAACTTCCAGAAGCAGCAATATGTGTGCTTTGTTTTCTGAACATCCTGTCTCCCACATCCAACTCTCAACCCCGAAAGAACAGCAGTGATTTCTTAGTTACAGTGATGAATTTTAAGGAAAGGACCCAACCCCAAATTGACAAAATGCAGAGGTGATAGTTATTAAAACTCAACTGGGTTCAAATGAAAGTGAGATTCAAGGGGTCAGCTTTTCTGTAATAGATATTAGCTGCTGACAAGACTTAATTTAGCAGGGATTTCAAGATGACTGGATAGAGAGATCCAGCACTCACCTGCTCCTCCACAAGGTAACAACAAAGCAACAGGTATGTAGTTGCATTTTGAGGTGAAAAATCATGGAGAACACTGAACATCAGCAGAAAGAAAATGAAACCTTATAAGATCCAGAGATCTGGGACAGCAGTATAAGAGGAAAAAAATGTCTAGCATCTGCTGCCCCAGCTCCATAGCTGAGGAGGGCAAGCCATCCTTCTGCAGGGATAGGATAAAAGAGTCCTGGCAAACAATCAGCATATATATTAGCAATCCTAGCTGTTGGAAAGTATCACAGCCCCCACAGGCTTTATATTAAAGTATTGTGTTAATTAATTTAAAATAATTTTTCAAGTTACCTGAAATCTGCAGAGTAGTCTTACTACTCTGTGGAGAATTTTATATCATCCAGTGATGCCTCCAGGGTGCTGTAGCCAGGAGCCATTTCAAATAAGGACCTATTGTTGAATTTGGGCTGCTCCAGGGGTCTGGAATCCCTGCATATTTCCATCTTTGGGATCCCACAGACTTCACTGCGCTGGCTCAGCCAATGGCTGCCACAGAAATCAAATGTGGCTCCGTAGAGTGACCCTGAATTAAACCTGCTTGGTGCCCTTCACTATAGGGGATAGATGTTGCAACATGGAGGGTAACATTGCTGCCTTGGAGAACTGGGAGATTTAGTAGCTTGCCCTCTGAGGAGAAGAGTGTGTACAACCATGMAGTCTATACTGGTGCTGGGACTGAAGGCAGTCACTCATGTGGTTCCTGCCACCCCTATTTACAGCACCACTCTTAGGCTTCTAAGAGAATGGGGAAAAGAACTCTGTCATTTCACTGCTGCCCTGCCTACTGAGGTGTGCTGGGGTGACCTTGAGCATCATTGTTGTTCTTGGTGTCCCTCCCGCACAGACACACAGCCTAAGGAAGTCCAGAGAGAAA